GGAAGGAAGGAAGGAAGGAAGGAAGGAAGGAAGGAAGGAAGGAAGGAGAAGGGGAAGGGGAAGAAGAAGGAGGAGGAGGAGGAAAAGAAGAAGGAGGAGGAGGAGGAGGAGGAGAAGAAGGACGAGGAGGAGGAGGAGGAGAAAAGAGAAGTTTGTATACATTTTGCTCTTTCATGTCGGTTCACCCTTCTCCTCACCCACCCACCCTTCTCTGCCTCAGCATCATATACTCATATTTTTTAAACCCTACCTGATCACCCCTTGCTATGAGATTCTACAAATTCCATTTATTGAAGTCTTATTTCTTTCTGACATTCATTTGACCTTGATCCTGTAACCGTCTCACTGGAAGACAAAACATGATCATGATTCAGGCTCTGAATGGGGAAGGAGAGGAAAATTCTACCGAAAATACAATAAACTAATTTAAAGGAAGTAAAGACCACTTTTAAAGTGGTCTCAAGGCCGGGTGTGGTGGCTCATGCCTGTAATCCCCACACTTTGGGAGGCTGAGGTAGGCAGATCACGAGGTCAGGAAATCGAAATAATCCTGGCCAACATAGTGAAACCCCATATTAAAAAAAAAATACAAAAAAATAGCCAGGCGTGATGGCACGCACCTGTAGTGCCAGCTACTCCAGAGGCTGAGGCAGGAGAATCGCTTGAACCCAGGAGGTGGAGGCTGCACTGAGCCGAGATTGTGCCACTGTACTCCAGCCTGGACAACAGAGCAAGACTCTGTCTCCAAAAAAAAATAATAAAATAAAATAAAATTATTAAGTGGTCCCAAAATACCACTTTAAAAGAAAAAAATGACAATTCGATTTTTGGCTAGCTAAAAATCACATTCTGATAACTATAAAAAATGTACATATTTCACTTGCTTTATATGTTATATTACATATTGTACTTTACTCTCTCAAAATAGTATCCTTTCTCTTGTCTCTTTTATTCATCAGCACAGTTACTCAGTAACCTCTCTAAGGAACCATATTAGAACAGGAAAACTGTATCGAACAGTACAGTGACCTTGCCTGCCCAGCTTGACTCACCCAACAACGAGGGCTCTGCCACCTAACAGATGCTCACCATTTGGCAAATTTCATTAAAAGTTCAATAACCCAACAAGATCCAGACTGATTCTCTATAAGATTATAGGATTTTTCTATACTATTGGATATTATACTATTAATACCACAAATACCAAAATATATCTCAATTTTCATCATCAATTCTGGAAGATAATATTTTGATATTTTATTATAAAAACATAATACACTGTAAATAGCTAGCACAGCAAGAGTATACTCTAGAAACTACTGACTACAATAGACTATCAATACATTAGTAAATCATACCTATAAATTTTACAAACAGTATTGATATTAGTTTGATTTTTTACAATGTACCTGCTAATACATTAGCAAATAATTCATTGCAGGAGATTAGAGTGCATAACATCCTCATTAAAAATATATTGATATAAACTTTTAAAAAACTATTATATCTATAACTTAAGCCATGGTTTCTTTTTTCACCAAAATTATATCAGAGTATTTAGAGTAACTATAACTTAAATAAGTGTATTCGCACTTTTTTATTCAACAAATATTTCTTGAAGCCTAGTTGGTACCTGGAGAAAAAATAATACACAAAAGAGAAATGGAGTCTAGCCCTGGGAATTTATAGTCCAGTAAGGGAAAGAGACAAGTAAGCAGACAGTTAGAATACAATGCAGAGCAGTGAGTGTCATGATGGGGAAGTCTGAGCTGTTCTGGTAGTGCTTAAGGAAGCCCTTAACCCATTCTTGAGAGGTCATGGAAGCTTCTAGAAGGAAGGGACAATTAATCTTGTAAAATTAACAATCTTGTAAAATTGAAGGGGCAATTACCTGTAAAATGAGGAGCAAGGGTTGACACAATAGAAGGAGAATGGCAGAGATGGTGAAGATTTATGGCAGGGAAACTGTACGTTCCAAAGCCTAGAAGTAAGAAACAAGGTACGTTCTTTGAAGTCCTGAAATAGGTTTCCTATGGCCGTATTATCCAAAGATAAAATGCTTTGTAGACTTCTATGTGAATAAAATTTACTTTACATAAATTAACTTAAAACTTCCTCTCATGCTGTGGCTGTTTTACTGATGGGATGGCTGCACCTTTGATGCATGGATGCACTGATGCCACTACTGCACTGATGCATTGATGCCATTGGTGCATGGATACTATTAATGCCTTGAGGCACTGATGCATAGATACCATTTGTGCATTGATGCATTGCTGCCATTGATGCAGTCCCTCAGGGATCTTCAGCCATTTGTCAATAAGAGCAACTCTTTCCTTCCCTCTCTGACAACATAATCATAATTGGTTAACTAATGTTATTTAGATAAGTTCTGTGCTTTTGCCTATATAGACTATTTTGTTGTTGATGTTTTGAGCCAGAGTCTCGCACTGTGGCCAGGCTGGAGTGCAGTGGCACGATCTCGGCTCACTGCAGCCTCTGCCTCCTGGGTTCAAGTGATTCTCCTGCCTCAGCCTCCTGAGTAGCTGGGATTACAGGTGCACGCCTCCACACTCAGCTAATGTTTGTATTTTTAGTAGAGACAGGGTTTCACCCTGTTGGCCAGGATTGTCTCGATCTCCTGATCTCATAATCTGCCCACCTTGGCCTCCCAAAGTGCTGGGATTACAGACGTGAGCCACCACGCCTGGTCTCCTATACAGTATTAACTATAGTTAATATGCCCTATTAACTAGAGCCAGATATACTACTTCAGGAACATAAGTCATCAAATTTTAGAATTAGTCCATCCTGGGAAACATGGCAAAACCCAGTCTCTACAAAAAGTACAAAATTACCCAGGCATGGTGGCATGTGCCTATGGTCCCAGCTACTCAAGAGGCTGAGGTGGGAGGACTGGTTGAGGCTAGGAGGTCGAGGTTGCAGGGAGCCATGACTGTGCCACTGCACTCCAGCCTGGATGACAGAGCAAGACCTGTCTTTAAAAAATGTAAATAAATAAATAAAGTTTTTGAGTTATTTATTCAGTGCCAAATTTATTTACTCCTGGGCATTTTCCCCTTCTTCTTCACTCATATGCTGTGGTATTTGTAGATAATAGTTTGAAAAATTTTTTTATCAATACCTCTTGGACAATAATGAAAACTGATCTTTTGTCTCAATGTTGTATATTACAGATAACACTGTAATACCAAATTTAATTTCTTCCTCGTATATGCTTTTATTATTTTCCGTTTCTGTGGTCTCATCAGAAACTCTTCCTGCTGCTCTCATTCTGTCAGTTTACTGTGGAAATCCATGACCACAGAGGACTTGAAGAGGTAAACAGCTAACATTAGGACTCTCTAGATTATTTTCAAATAAGGAAGTATTTATGCAAAACCTAAACCACTCAGATCTATACACTACAAAAGGATGCCTTTTCAATTTTTATTTTATTTAACTTCTTTAAGCCTAGTCCCGTGGGGAGAGGAATGCCTACCTCACATGCCTAACAAATGAAGACTGCCTAGTGCTAATAACCGGAAGGTCCCTCTTTGAGTTAGATGGTAAGGATATAACACAGAACAAAGCCAACACCAAATATGCTCACTTTTACTGAAACAATATAAATTCCCAAAACTAAATGCAAATGTGGGTATTTAAGAAACTAGCAGTTTCCAGGGGGAAAGGAGTCTATTTTTCCAGGTTGCTGCAGATTTCTTAGCCCTTCTGGGTTTCCATTTATTAAAACACAACTGAAGGCTTCTCCTGACATGGATCCACAGTAGCTTGGATCAGAAACGCATCTTACTGTAGTGTGTTGTTAGAAAGACTTCCTTCTGATGATTCCACAACTCCTCAGATGTAGTCAAGGAAGCTTCTTCACCTCAACATATATAAATATTCAAAACTCAGTTGCTACAATCACTCGCAATAGTGAGCAGCATGTCCTAGCCCAGTGCCGAGCACTTAGTGGGAGTAGCTGGAAAAAAAAAAATTTTAAGTTCCTTCATGAAGAATTTCCCAAACACTGATAAAGAAAAGACCAATAAACTAGTAGAAAAATGGCCAAACATACTGACATACAGTTCACAGAAAAGGAAAGACAAAATGGCTCTGGAGCATGTGAAATGTTCAAAATTACTCAACATAAGAGAAGTGCAATTTAAGGCCAGGCGTGATGGCTCACACCTGTAATCCCAGCACTTTGGGAGGCCAAGGCAAGTGGATCACCTGAGATCAGGAGTTCAAGACCAGCCTGGCCAACATAGTGAAACCCCATCTCTACTAAAAATACAAAATTAGCCAGGCGTGGTGGCGGGGCCTATAGTCCCAGCTACTTGGGAGGCTGAGGCAGGAGAATTGCTTGAACCCAGGAGGCAAAGGTTGCAGTGAGCTGATACTGTGACACTGCACTCCAGCCTGGGCAACAAGAGCAAAACTCAGTCTCAAAAAACAAGTGCAACTTAAAACAACACTCAGTCATCATTTTTCAGTTTCTGAAAAATGTTGATAGGTAACATTTAATAACACTCTGTTGGTAAGAATATGGGAAAATAAGCAGTATAATTGCTTATGGCAAGAACGTAAGTTGATTCAACCTTTCTGAAGTACAGTTTTGCAATATATATCAGATAATCTACTCATAAACACAGAAAATTCCTTTTCTAGGAATTACATAGATATATTCAAACAAGTACAAAACAACACATGTACAAGATATGCACTGCAGCGTTACTTGTTATAGCAAAAGACTAGAAACAACCTATAAGCCTATCAATAGGTGACTGGCTAAATAAATTATGATATATCCACTCAATGAAATATCCTATGCCGGCAGGGTGCTGGAGCTCATGCCTGTAGTCCCAGCACTTTGGGAGGCCAAGCCGGGCAGGAGTTCGAGGCCAGCTTGGCCAACATGGTAAAACCCCGTCTCTACTAAAAAAATACAAAGAATTAGCTGGGCATGGTAGCAGATACCTATAATCCCAGCTACTCGGGAAGCTGAGGCAGGAGAATCGCTTGAACCCAGGTGGTGGAGGCTGCAGTGAGCCGACATCGTGCCATTGCACTCCAGCCTAGGCACCAAAAGTCAAAAAGAAAGAAAGAAAAGAAAAGAAAAAAGAAAAGAAAGAGGAAGGAAAGAAGGAAGGAAGGGAGGGAGGGAGGAAGGAAGGAAGGAAGGAAGGGAGGGAGGGAGGGAGGGAAGGAGGGAAGGAGGGAAGGAGGGAGGGAGGGAGGGGAAAGAAAGATCCTACAGCCATTAAAATTAATGAGGATGCTTTTTTTGTAACAATATAAAATAATTTCAAATGTTAAGATAAAAAACACAAAGTACAAAACCATGTGAAGAGTATGCTACCATTTGTATGAAAAGAGAGGGGGGACTGTCTGCTTACGTGTTTGTTGGCATATACATAAAGTAGTTCTGGAAGCATGTTTACAAAACTCATAGCATTGTTTCCTTACAAAGAGAGAAGACTGCTTGGCTGATGAATGGGATGGAAGGGAAATTTATAAGCCTTATTGTAATTTTGAATCGTGACTATATTTCATATGCAAAAAATAAATTTAAAAATTGAAAATAAAAGGACACTTGAACTCTGATCACTGATTCTATCTCAGTCTCTGTGATCTTGAATCACTGCATTTCTCTGTAGCTCATTTTTTCCCTTCAAAAAATAAGAAAGTTAGACTGGCAAATCTGTCCGTTTCCCTCTAATTTTAGAGTTTTAGTTAGGCATACGTAAGAAATCATGGCTTCAGGGAAAAAAATAGAATAATACTTTTACACATTGTATATATAAAGTTTAACGGTGGCTCTGGCCCATGCAATTGTGATTCTATTTCTTCATAGTCGTGTAGCAAAAGCCTGGATTCAATGCAAGCAGGCCTACCCCTCCTTTTTACAAACACATGACATCAACATGGTCTTTATGAAAATTGGAGGTGTCTACGTAGAGCCTCTGTAACCACATGCCAAGCAAGCAGGTACTTGTAATTCTCCAACTCAGGACTCCTGAAGACAAGTAGTTCTCACTTTTTAACACAGTCCACTTAAGGAAAGTCAAAGACCCCAAGACCTTCTCATCCCACCCATTCTCGCTGTGGTAAGAATCTGCTTCACTCAATACACAAACATTCTGGTTTATACCTGTGCATACACACAACTTAGTGGTTTAGAAGTTGCCACACACAGCTAAAAATCTACTTTCGATGAAAAGTAGGGCCAAGAATACAGTTGTTGCAAATATGCAATGCTCTACACTATAACCAAACAACTCCCAACACTAACTTAAAACTACAAGGCAAAAGAGCAGCAACTAAAAATAATACCATACTCAAAAAACCAGGAATGATTTAAGGATAAGAATTTCTCTTTGATATTGTAGGAATTGCATTTGTCTAAATGTGAACAAGGGCAATAAGAGTTTTGCAAACTTGCCAACAACTACATGATAGCCAGATGCTTTAGCCAAAAGATACTGAATTAGAATCCCTAGTTACCTGCTAATTTTCATTTATGAAACCAAATTTTAGTCAACTCTAATAACTCATTCAAAAGATTATTGGAACTAGTTCTTACTTATAATCTAAAAATGAGAGTCTATGGAACATGCAGTTTGCCTCCATATCCCTCATTTGTAAGAGAATATTTATTCCTACATTTTAAAGATCAAATGATCAAACAAGTTGTAACAATATTTTAAAAACTGCAAAGGGATTGATATATTTCACAAATGTAAATCATTATTAGCATTTGTTATCATTACTAAATCCTGAGGTGGCTCAGGCTATAATAGTCATGCAGCACTGAGCTGCTACGGATAATAACCACTGAGTTATTAAAGATTTCGAAGGATTCTGGTAAGATTGAGCGATTTTGACAAATGTTAATTTCTTATTTTTTTTTTTCACATAATAGAGACCAGGTTTCACCATGTTGGCCAGGCTGGTCTCAAACTCCTGACCTCAGGTGATCCACCAGCCCCCACCTCCCAAAGTGCTGGGATTACAGGCATGAGCCACCACACCTGGCTGACAAATGCTAATATTTAATTGAGTTATTAAAATTAAAGTTATTCTAAAACATTGTTTAGAAAGTTATATATTGGGAATGAACCAATAGATGATTATATAATATGCATATACTTGATTCATATAGACAAATTTCCTAACAACTATGTTTTGCCAGTGCACCCAATCTTTAGTTTCTAATAAGCAACTGTTGAGGAAGTGAAATGCACCAAAATTTCACATTCTGCATTTGGGAAATATGCCCTGGAGATATTTAATAACACACTCTGCTTTTTTGCAATGATTATGTTAGTATATACAAACTTACCTTCAGGATCTGTTTTAATTACAAATGTGTCATGCATAAAACATGTGGAATCATTTCAATATGTTCATTATCCTTTGCTTCATTCTTCAATTCACAAGGCAACTTTAATTGTAGTATATTCATCAACTCTTCTTTAGTCTTAAGATTTCCACAGATATTAGTTCAGCTTAAATTTATAGAAAATAGTCCTCTGGCAGGTTGCCCCTGATTGGGTTCCACATGAGAGGACAGTATTAATCAATGTACTGGAAAACACGTAAGCGCCAAAGCCATATTAAATCTAGGCTCCATCCCACAGGACCCTGATTATGGAAATAGATTCACATATTTTAGTGTTAATGTTTGCAACCACAATTCTTTCCCAAATGAAACCCGAAGCACTCATGCAGATTAGCACTGGTCTAACATTTTAAAACTTGGCTTTTAATCGAACTTCGGAGGAAATGATTGCAGCCTCACTGCGTACTTATTCTCCCTACTTCGCCAGGGTAACATGAAGCTTAATTAGTCCTCTGTTGAGGCTATTTGCTCCTCTGAAGTTTAAGTTTCTATGAAGGTTGAATCATTAAATAATTGCAGTGGAAACATTTTTTACAATTCTTTCCCCAAATCAAAAGTAATTTGAAAAAGGCCAAGGTACCTAACATTGTAGGGATTGAAACGTAATTAGTTGGTAGATTTGATACAGTGGACCAGAAGTGGACGCTCAGAGGAGGAATCAAAATAAAAAGCCACTGTGAATGAAAGCAAAGAGGCAAATATGTAAAGAAAGTCAGAGAATTTCAGGAGCAAAAAAAAAAAAAAACAGCAAGAAGTCATTAAAAGTGGATGGCATCGTTAAACATCAAGGGCAACTTAGGTGATTTTTTACAAGAGTTAGGTGCCCTGAGGAGAAAGGGCCTAATTGAACCAGCATTCAAGTGGCTGAAAGGAAAGCAATTTTGACCAGCCACCAAAAAGTAGATTTAAACCCAGACAAAAAAAAATGGAGGGGAACTTTCTTTCCCAGTAAGTATACGGAGAGAGAAATACCTCCATCCTTACGCTAGAGCAATTGTTTTGTACCTTTTGGCCACCAAGACACATGTGGCAAATAATGTTTCCATTTAGACACACCCTTACAAGCACAAAAAACCTAGCATATTAGATAGGTGCAACTGTTCACCACATTTCATTTCTTTCTCTTCCACTCTAGAATTGTCACATGTGACTGTCATCTGTGTGGGATAGGCACTGTAATGGGTGGGAAAAGTCAATCATTAATTATTCAGAATGACTGAGACACCTCTAGTTGCTACCACTCCCGAGCAGAGGTAAGATAAACTAGAAAGGGCAACTGGAAATGCCTAGGGAAGGCCAGAGTGTCTGACTACTTGTCAATAAGCTCATGAGAGCCCCCGGGTTAAAATAATTAGCCATTCCCCAAAGGCTCTGTGGCTCTCAGCCCTGTCACTCACTAACAACCTTCTAGACCAACAGCCAAGATTTCTCTATGAGCTCGCACAACCTTCTACTATAACAGAAGAAATAGGGATAAACAAAATTCAATCCAAATTTTTAAAACTATAACCTACATATTTTAAAATTTGGACATCTAGTGAAATAATGTCAGCTCACCCCTCAATATATAACTTTCTAAGCAATGTTCTAAAAAAGGTAGATTGTGAAAACAAAAAGTTGACTACCAAGGGAACTTGCTTCTGATTTGGATCTTGTCAAAAATATGAAACTAAAAACCCACCACAGGGAATTGAAGCCTACAGAGAAAATCCAAAAAGTCTTTCTCATTTCACATCTTTTAGGAAGCTTATTTTGTACACATCTCTTATCTGAGATACAGTACTTATTGTCATTACCATTCAGACTGACATTCAATCACCTACTTCCTGTAAGTTTATTTAATTTTTCTGTCTTCTCATTCCAATTAGATTATAAATTCCAGATGATCAGCATTGTATTCCTCTCAGCCTGAAGGCCATGTGGGGCACAAAGAAGGCGTGCTGGATGTTTGTTTGTGACCAAGTCCCACGCTGTTGCCCAGGCTGGAGTGCAGTGGCGTGATCACAGCTCACTGCAGCCTCAAGCTCCTAGGCTTGAGTGATCCTCCTGCCCAACCTCCTGAGTTGCTGGGACTATAGGCACACACCACAACACCTGGCTAATTTTTAAACTTTTTTGTAGAGAGGGGGGTCTTCCTATGTTGCCCAGGCTAATTTTGACCTTCTGGCCTCAAGCAATCTTCCCACGTGGGCCTCCCAAAGTGCTGGGATTACGGGCATGAGCCATTGCACCCTGCCAGCATGCTGTTAAATGCTTGTATGATTAATTAAGTAAATTTAATTAATTTCTACATTTCTCTATTGTTTTCTTTCTAGCCATCATTTTCTGTGGATTTATTTAAACACTATTGCAATTAAACAAATATATGTATGTGTATGTGTCTGTGTATATATAATACCTAAAGGCAACTGGTAGCTGTCATAAACTGGGAATTAAGAAAAATGTATCTGCCTTTGGCAGGGTGCAGTGGCTCACGTCTGTAATCCCAGCCCTTTAGGGGGCCAAGGCAGTATATCATTTGAGGCAAGAGTTCAAGACCATGGCCAACATGGTGAAACCCCATCTCTACTAAAAATTAAAAAATTAGCTGGGTGTGGTGCTGGGTGCCTGTAATCCCAGCCACTAGGGAGGCTGAGGCACGAGAATCACTTGAGCCTTGGTGGCAGAATGTTGCAGTGAGCCTAGACAGTGCTACTGGACTAGAGCCTGGGTGACAGTGAGACTCCGTTTCAAAAGAAAAAAAAAAAAATATATATATATATATATATATAGACACACACACACACAGAGAGACATATACATATCTGTCTTTAATCAGATACATCATCAAAAACTGAAATGAATACACTTTTAACCTTGGACAGAAACTGCTTTTAATATGGAAATGTTGGTGAACTCTTAAGGAAAATAGACTAAAATGTACATCTGAATCTAAGGAACATTTTTGTCCACAGATTAAACACATAATTACATAAGTTGAGTTTATTTTAGTATCATTCTAATGGTTTTCTTTTGCATCAGTTTTATTCCTGAAAGTTATCTTCTCCTTACTTCTAGTGTCACTTTTTTAAAGAAAGCTCTTACCAAGATAAATCTCAGAAAATACAAATCTAAGCAAGACAATTTAGGGTAACTTAGTTTACAGAGATTTGCATTTATAGCCACATTATTACGTTAAGAAATAAAGGTTGGCGTGCCCCATCATATGTTCCTGGCCAGTTTTGCAGAAAGTAACGTCAACCTAGAAAACAACATGAAAGCCAGCAACTGAGTTTCTAATGTTATGCTCACTATGGGGAACATTACATTGAGCAAAAGAGGCCAACAAATGCCATGTGTGAGTAACCTGAACTCCTCAAAGGAAAGAGGAAAAATGTTATGTTAGATCAGTGGTTCTCAACCCTTGTTGAAAGTAGAAACCTGAGAAGCTTCAAAAAACAAAAAAAAAAAACCAAAAAACCATTGCTTGTTTCTCATCCTCAGACATTCTATTTACTTTGTCTGGGAGAGTCACAGGCATTGCCGGGACAGTAGTGCACACTTAAAATACCAGCTACTCAGGAGGCTGAAACAGGAGGATCCCTTGAGCCCAAGAGTTGATAGATCAGTCTGGGCAACATATTGGGACATCCCTCTCAAAAAAAAAAAAAAAAAAAAAAAAATTATTAGATGCATGTAATGTACAGCCAGAGTTGAGAACCATTAGGCTAAATGATATAAAATTACAAATAAGCTTTCTAAAAAGACACATTTTCCCTCTTTATACTTCCAGTGCTAATTCAGGCAAAGTCTGAGCTACTCTTTAGTACAGCCCTCTTTATGTAGACTTAAAAGTTAACACATACATATACACAAGCCTCTAGGTTTCCCATGAAAACCATCTGTCAAAATTATACTAGCTAGAACCAACATGTTAAAAACCACAATTATAAAGAATGTTAATTCTTTGATTCTATTGAATTTCCACGGACTTTTTTGATCTCAAGTGGTAAAAGCTAAATCATTCTAGCTGGAGTGAAAAGTGGAGGAATGGATTTAATCAGCGAATAGCTACAAAGGACCAGAATAGATCTCACATTAAGCACAACAGATCCAGGATCCAAATAATGTCACCAAGACTTGGTTTCTTACTCTTATACTCCCTTGCACTAGTCCTTCTCTCTGTTTCCCTCTAGACATGGATGTCATTCTTTCTGTCATGAGTACCCTACTCTGTGAGTTCCTACTCCAAGTGGTAGGAATCTCAGGTTCACATCTTTACAGCACCCTATCCTGAAAGGCAAAATATGGTTTTTCCTGCTCCTTCAGGAGAAAAGTCCCAGATAATGCCTCTGCTGGCTCCAAGTTGGATCACAAGCCCATACTAAAAATCTCAAAAATATCACCTGTCTATAATATATCACTCAAAAATTAATTGAGTTTTAAAACATTAATAGGAGGACTAGGTGCGGTGGTTCACTCCTGTAATTCCAACACTTTGGGAGGCCAAGGTGGGTGGATCACTTGAGGTCAGGAGTTCAGGACCAGCCTAGCCAATATGGCAAAACTCCATCTCTACCAAAAATACAAAAATTAGCCGGGTGTGGTGGCACGTGCCTGTAATCCCAGCAACTCTGGAGGCTGAGGCATGAGAATTGCTTGAACCCGGGAGGCAGAGGTTGCAGTGAGCCGAGATCACACCACTGCACTCCAGACTGGGCAACAGGGTGCGAGACTCAAAAAAATAAAAATAAAAACAAAAAACAAAATAAACTATTAATAGAAATAAACATAGAAAAGAAGCAAAGAGAGTAAAACACCACTTTGGAGAATCCTATATTTGTGTGGAACAAAATTCACCTAACAGGAAATACAGTAGTTGAATCATAAAAATAGTCAAAGGTCATAATCAGACTTTTATTTAAAGGGATGAATTTTATTTTTATTCTGAGACCAAAGGGGGCCACAAAAGGATTTCAGGAAAAGAATGAGATGATCAGATTTGTTTTAGGAAGATTACTTTGGCATATGGGAATAGATTAAAGAGAATGCATTTTAAAAATAGACACAAGTTAGAAGGATATTACAGTTATCCACATGAAAAGAAATCTAAACTTGTACTAAGGCAATGGTTAAGACAAATAGAGACAAGAAATGGATTCGAGATTTTTAAGGATGTGGTATCTACAGTAACTAGATTGGGTATTAGATGCCCAGAAAGGAAGAGGATTCAGAATGACTCACTGTTTCCTGGCTTGGGAAACTTGGAGGATAGTCATGCTGTTAACTAAGAATTCAGGAATAGAGGCAGGTTTGGAATGGATAGATGATAAATTCAGTTTAGTGTTAAAGTTGTCTATAGGATTGAAATGGAGGCCAACTTATACTATAAAGCCAACTATAAGATCAACTTTAATTATAAAGTCAAATGTTAGATGATTAAGGCATAAATATATTAAAGTCACACTCAGGACAAAGATAGAACCAGAAAGGGGAGCTAGATGACATTTCTAATGAACGTGGAAGAGACAAATTAGTAAATAACCCCAACTACAATGTATAAAGGACATTCTAGCCAGATGGCATGAGCCTCCAGAAAGATCTAACATGAGGAGAAAATAAAGGTTTTGAAATAGAAGTAAGGACAAAATGAACGCTGACCTGACCCCCGTCCAGATCTGGTCATGGAGATTGGAGAGCAGCAACAGTCACTTGGCCAGGATGTGAAGCAGGTGGGAGAACACTGGGTATCAGCAAGGGCAAACAAGCGCACTATGAAGTCTTCTGTTTTGACTCTCCAGCATCCAAACCCCCTTTCTACTGTGGGGGAAATCCCAGAGGAGGTGGGAGCAGGGCACACTTTTGGGAAGCCTTACAAAGAAGGCACTAGCACATGACTTAGGTTCTGCCACCTCCATGTCCCGCCCTGGACCTTGAGACAGTTGTGTAAGGGCACGGTGAACTTGAGAAATTTTTCACAGCACAAGCAGCAGTTCAACTGACGGTCCCATGACTCATTAGGACATGAGGCATATTGTAACATTAAACATGCCATACCCAATATTGTTCGGGCTTCATTAGGGCAGGAAAGGACTTCCAATACTCACTTCCGCCCTAAAAGCACCACTTCCTGTCATGTGATATAGTCTATTGTCTGTTCTCATGTGACAATTTGGGGGAAGTGGGGAGAAGACAATTTGAAAACAGAGGTTAGTAGAATTTTTAATAATACAGTGTCATGGTAATTTTTAACTCTAAAATATTAATTTTTACATACACTTTATTATTAAACTACAGAACACAGATAGCCAAGGCCTCAGTGATGGCAGTGACAGAGGTGGTGACCCAGCAGCAGGCCCCACAACAAACTGACCCTGTGCCAGGCCCGGGCCGTGATTCCAGCTGCAGCTGCACAGCCTCACTTGTCTCCTGCCCATCTTCCAACCCTGATTCTCAAGCCTTCTCATTATTGGGTTTCTTGGCAATCAATTCCTTTTATGTTTAAGTTAACCAAAGTTGGTTTCTGTCATTTTCAACTGAGAACTCTAATAGCTACAGATGAAAAGCACTTCCAGAGGAGGAATGGAGGGTGCTGTATGCTGGAGTCCCTGGCTGTTTTAAGAAATCCAACATTGTAGTATTTGGAGTTTCACAGAGTTTCCGTGGAAGAGAAAAATGATGTGATAAAATGAAAATGTAAGTACGTGTATGTCAGAATATACCATAACTACCACCCAGGCTGGAGTGCAGTGGCACGATCTCGGCTCACGGCAGCCTCTACCTCCCGGGTTCAAGCAATTCTCCTGCCTCAGCCTCCCCAGTAGCTGGGACTACAGGCAGGCTACCACACCCTGTTATCTTTTGTATTTTAGTAGAGGCGGGGTTTCACCATGTTGGCAGGCTGGTCTCCAACTCCTGACCTCAGGTGATCCACCCACCTTGGCCTCCCAAAGTGCTGGGATTACAGGTGTGAGCCATCGTGCCAGGTCCAGGAATACCTTCTTTCTCTGGCCACGATTTTGTTTGGTTGTTTTGCTCCCAATGAAACAGAAATTATATAAGTGATCAAATTTGTCCAAAGACTT